AAGGCCACCAGGAGAAGCCAGGCTGGAGGCCAGACCAGGAAGTGGAAGCAACTCTCTTGAAAAAGACTGGGTGAAATCATCTCTCTCCTGTCCCCGAAATTATACAGATGTGTCCATGAAGTTGCAGAAGTTGACCTCAACCCCAAAGATATTTTACCGTAAGATCCAGAATTAACCAGCCATTACAGCATACACATTTAATGAATCATTATTGTTATCATTATTACTACTCCTAAATTGTAAAGTAAATAAGTGTCTAAAAATCTCCAATTCCCAGTATTTTAATGGCAACTAGATAGAATGATTTCCGCAAAGAAAGGGAATGCCTTCGTTTTCCACTCGGCCAAAGGCAGCTCCTGTCGCCAGAGCAAGGAAGGCGAAGGGAGGACTTCAAAACCTGGGAAAACATCCCGGAGTTGAAGAGCAGCTTCGCCGGAAGGATCAGGCGGAGGAGGCCGGCCGGAAGCTTTTCTGCCTCAAACTGGATCCAGCGGGGCAGGTCTTTTCCTTCTGGGCCTGGAGGGCTTTCCTCGCTGCCCCTCCCAGCTGGGGGCTTCCAGGGCGAGGAGAGGTCGGGGTTCGCTCTGCTTTGCTTGGGCCATCGCCTCCCGTTCACCCAGGCCAAAAGCAGCGGATCGCCCCGGGTCTTCCATCAGGACGACCGGGGAGGCCTCGGGGGTCCCGGCGGGGAAAGGCCAGGGCAAGCCGGGAAACTGACCCGGGCACTTCGGGGGCCCGTCTTCAGGCGGAAGTCTCAGGACGGGGGGCAGCATGTGTCTCAGTGAGGCTCCCAAGCCTCAAAAGCGTTGCAACTTCCTCTTTTGTCTGGACAAAGGCAGGGAGGTTTGCCAGAGTTTCGGGCGCTAACCGCGCCTCCGCCCCGCCTGGGCTGTGGGCTGTGCTGCAGCGCCCCCTGCTGCCCCCGGAGAGCGAAGCGGCTTCGCCCTTCTGGCCTGACTTCCCCGAAAGGGGGCGCCTCGCTGCCCGGACGCCCCGATTCACGTTCCTGCGCTGCTCGCAGAGCTGCTGTGTTGGCAGCCCACGCGTTTCATAGCGGACCATCGGCTCCAGAGAGCAGCCTCCGGACGGGGGGATTGGCTGGGGGTCCTGGCGGCAGGGGAGGATGGGAGTTGAAGTCTAGCTCATCTGGGGGGCTCCAGGTTGCCGATGGCTGAGAAAATTACCTGAGTTAACTGTCTCCCTGGCAGGCAACTCTTCAAGGGGCGGGAACTGTGGAAGGTGCTTGTGCAAGAGCAGAAAAGTACTTGCTGTGTTATTTTCAGGCTGTTTGTCTCCCTGAGAGCATTTTGAAGGTGTTTCTCACCCTTGGCAATGGGGACTTCTGGGAGTTGAAGTCCAGAGTTCTTAAAATGGCCAAGGCTGAGAAGCCCTGTGCCAGGAGATCAGCTCTCCCAGCTTTTTTGCGCCATCTGAGTGGCTGGCAGTCAGGTGGCATAGAAATTTAGTAAACTGCTACTGTTATTGACAAATCCAGAGGGCCCAGCCCCCCCCCCCCCCCCC